TATTTTCTTTCAAAAATCAATAGGTCACTTAGTCATACCTCAAGGGCTAAATAAAGATCATATGGTACAACATTCCAATGTCTTATAGCACCATGAAAGAACCTACTTTCTGTGCTTCACTGTAGAAGTCAAAACACCCCTGATATTAAAACAGGTAAAATACAAACCACACAATATATACACGTTTTTATCATTAATTAGTCGATAATTTCTTCCAAGTTCTGACCAGCCCATTCAAATTCTATACTTTGATTTCAACCAATACCTTGGCTCCATTATATACTAGTATTAGTGAACTATATACATATTACACTATCCCAGAGCAGGATCTTCTCTATTTTCTGCCAGTAGCACCAATGCGTGGTTTGCCCTTGACTTCAGATTCCTGCATTTCATATTAATATAATATGCGCATCATTCACAGATGATTAAAGGATATTTTTTTAAGAAAGGGATAGCCAAACCAAATACCTGAGGCAAGTGCAGGAAAATGTAGGTCTTTGCTGTTGTAGGATTAGAATTTTCAGCCCCTTTACTCCAGTCATAGCACACCTACACGAAAGATGTCAATGTATTAAATCCACATGTTTGAACCATAAAATCATAGAAATACTTCCATTGAGGTAAAAGATAAGACCAGCAACAATACCTAGATTTTGAAATCAGAATCCTTCTATCAGCAAATTACGAATCATATCAAGAATTTAATTGCCGGATAGAAAGTAGAGCAATGCAACAAAAACATTAACTCTCGTTCAATAACATCAACTCTCATTTAAGTTTATTAAACAAAAACCCAATGGTGCTGATCAATCCATGTGGTCGAATGCATCACCCAAACTAGACAAGTGACTATTAGGCCTGATTTTTGTTGTTGATGACTTTAGATATCTATTATAGAAGATTGTAATTATGTATCATGATCCCTTATCTTCTCACTATCTATCACAGAAGATTATCGCCATGGATGATAATCCCTCATGTTCTCCCTAATTAGCTTTTATCAAATATAGCAAGCAAGTAAAATCCCTCATGTCCACACCACCCTCAATCCTTAAAAAAAAAAGCGTATTTTATAAAGATAAACCTCTAGATTGCATTGTTTGAACCATGATTCTCGAAAGCAAAGTCCATCAACAAAATTATGACATCTGCTGGCAAATTCTTTATCCACGTCACTGTTTATTTTGCTCTTTAGTATCTGTTTTAAAATTTACAAACTATATTGCATTTTAACATCCTGTCACACATAATGGTGTGCTGAAGTCATGGGTGTTTTTTGAGGTATTCTCACAACAAAATGAAACAAGGAAAACAAGTTATGCAGCAAAAGAAAGAAACCCAATCATCACTAGTATATGTGCATAACTCGAAACAGGTGTAAAACGAATTTAACAAAGACGAAAATTTATGCAGAGTAGTAAGGTGGGCATACTGAGTAAGCAAATATTGAACCGTCACTATTGAAGGTGCTGCAAGGAATAGGTTGGTTGCATCTCAACATGGCCTGAAATAAGCTAAGTTTGCATTAGATAAGAAAGTATTGGGCAGAAAATATCACTACAATAAGTGTCCGTCAATGGAGCTGTTGATAAAGATGAAGTAACCTTGAGCCTCTGTTTACTATCCTTATCCCAAAAATTGAAAGCACCATCCGAACCAGCAGTTGCAAATGTGTGGTGTACCTTAGTAGAAAAATAATGTAAGAAATGATGATAGACTAAAGTGGACAAACTTTGTCAGTGATTTCTGATTTCCATTGGGGATAGAAGCAAGCAGAAATCGTGAATATATTCGAACAATCACCAAATAAACATTTGTACGTATGCTATAATTTTAGGGAGACCAACAAAATGTAAACAGCACTCAACAAAACAGTACACTGGCGAAAAAAAGAACTGAGCGTACAAGTATCTGTGAAATTCTATAACTAAAGGACATGGGATACTGCGATGCTTATTCATTGTTTACACAAAATGAACTGGATAAAAGATGTCAATACACCATAACCATGGGGCTAAGCATTTGTCAAACTCAAACATTTCAATGTCAACGTACTAACACTTGAAATCATTAGTAATTAAAATAAATTACGAGTGTTTTTATTCAATTACAACATGTAGTGCTGTCAAAATAGATTGAAACTCGTGAATCAACCTAGCCCACCACAAGTTCGAGCAGGGTTAGATTGGAAAAAAATGCGAAATTTTTGACCCAGTTCACCCGAGTTGAACCTGTGGTGAGCTAGGTTGACTCATCAACCTACCTATTTTTTTTAATGAAATCAAATTAATTATTCAAAACGCACAACTCTTACTTCGCAATAGAGCCTTTCTTGCTGCGCGGTTGCCTAGTGCTGTCAAAACGGACCACTCGGCCCAACCCGCCATGAATTGGTGGGTTAAACGGGCTTACTCACTTAACTTTTTTTCACCCTCTTCTTCCCAGATTCTTGTAACATGTTACTTTGATCGATCAAATTAAAACTATAATAGATGGACCAATTGATATAAAAGAAAATGAAACAAAAGAACTCTATTGTTATATATTCTAAGCTATTAAACATAAAATTATGCTAATTTATTTTAACGAGACATACACAAGATAAAACTGTCATGCTTGTAGATAGGTCTAAAAACAAGATAAAACAAATGGCATCTTTATGAATTATCCCATCTATTAAATTGAAGTCCTGAAGGGATAAATCCACAATATTATGCTCTCTTGAAGCATCTTTTTCTTTATCTCCGTCTACACTAAAATAAAAAAATAGTGTTAACTAATATATTGAAATACAAAGTAATAAATAATTAAAGACATGTGAGAATAACAATAATGTTACCTATTCGTTCAAAACCATGCAACCAATTTTGAGTTAAAATGAGTGCATCAACATTCTCTAGAAGAATGGAGGAATGATATTTGGTTAGGACACAAGAACCAAGACTAAAGGCAAACTCACTAGCAACTGTAGTGATTGGAATGCTAAGAACATCACAAGCCATCTTAGACAAGTTTGGATAACGATCTCGACAATCCCTCCAATAACTTAACACATCCAACTTATCAAAAAAACTTTGGATCAAGATTCCCTTCATCTAAATAAAGATCTAATTCAGACCTCCTAGTGTCATTAACATGTTGGTTCAAATAATCAACATATTTTTAAGACATCATGAAACAAAGCTAATATGTCATTACTCACAAGTAAGAAATAAAATATACATATTAAAATAAAGTAAGTCTAAGAATTAAAGACTTACATCAAATGCATCCATAAGTGGTCATCATTAGGAAAAGAAGGTTGTTGTGTTTTAGGAGAAACTTGAGAACTTGAAGTATTTGAATTTAATTTGACATATTCTTCAAACAACTTATACATGTTATCCTTTGGAACATTAATCTTTTCATCACAAGTAGAAGGATTAATCTTTCTATAACAAAATCGAATTGTTTCAAACTTCATTCGTGATAAAGAATAACCCCAATAGGAAGAATGTCACAATATTAATCCCAATACTTACTAAACCTGTTCATCATACTCAATGACATATCTTTAATCGTCAGATCATCACTTTTTACCTTTTCTTGTAACAAACATTCAATTTTTCAAACTTGCATAAAGTAACAGATTAGAAGTTGGATCAAAAGAACATGAAATCAAATTAGTCATTACATAAAATGACTTCAAGAACTCACATTTCGTAAAGTGGAAAAAGTCCGAAAAAATGTGAGTTTTTGAAGCCATTTTATGTAATGACTAATTTGATTTCAGATTCTTTTTATCCAACTTCTAATTGTTACTTCATGCAAGTTTGGAAAATTGAATGTTTGTTACGGGAAAATCTAAAAAGTGATGATCTGACGATTAAAGATATGTCATTGAGTATGAAGAACAAGTTTAGTAAGTATTGGGATCAATATTGTGACATTCTTGCTATTGGGGCTATTCTTGATCCACGGATGAAGTTTGAAGCAATTCGATTTTATTATAGAAAGATTAATCCTTCTACTTGTGAAGAAAAGATTAATGTTTTAAAGAATAACGTGTATAAGTTGTTTGAAGAATATGTTAAATTAAATTAAAATGAATCAAATACTTCAAGTTCTCAAGTTTCTCCTCCTACACAACAACCTTCTTTTCTTTTACTAATGATGAGTCAGTGATGGATGCATTTGATGTAAGTCTTTAATTCTTAGACTTACTTTATTTTATCATGTATATTTTATTTCTTACTTGTGACTAATGACATATTAACTTTGTTCCATGATGTCTTAGGAATATGTTGATTAGTTGAGCCAACATGTTAATGACACTGGGAGGTCTGAATTAGATCTTTATTTAGATTAAGGAAATCTTGATCCAAAGTTTTTTTTTATAAGTTGGATGTGTTAAGTTATTGGAGAGATCGTCGAGATAGTTATCCAAACTTGTCTAAAATGGCTTGTGATGTTCTTAACATTCCAATCACTACCGTTGCTAGTGAGTTTGCCTTTAGTCTTGGTTCTCATGTCCTAACCAAATATCATTCCTCCATTCTTCTCGAGAATGTTGAGGCACTCATTTTAACTCAAAATTGGTCGCATGGTTTTGAACTAACTTATTCTCACATGTCTTTAATTGTTTATTATTTTGTATTTCAATATTATTAATTAACACTATTTTTTTATTGTATTGTAAATGGAGACAAAGAAGATGGATAATTTAGGGAAGATGCCATTTGTTATATCTTGCTTTTAGACTATCTAAAAGCATGACAGTTTTATCTAAAAGATTGATCAAAGTAACATGTTATAAGAATCTCGAAAGAAGAGGTGAAAAAAAGTTAAGTGAGCTAATGAGTCAACTCGTTTAACCCACCAATCCATGATAGATCGGGCCTAGTTCAAACTTTTTCAATTCACTAATAAATGAGCCGGGTTGAGTTGGCTCACGAAGTGGCCAACCCGTAGTAGGTCGAGTCGGACCGGATGGCTCATTTTGACAGCACTAACAACATGTCGTCTGCATCTAAATTCCATAAATAAATAATGGAACACTTCACTTAAGATATTTGTTATCAAAGAAATCAATATTAAAACCAAAAACAAAACAAAAAAAACAAAATGTATTAAAATTGAAAACAGAATTTTGACATGTAATGTTAAGGTGTTTCATTTCATGAGAGTTCATTTATTGAAAATAACATTTTCAATGAATACAGAAATCTCAATGTGTTTTTTTTTTCATCATTATGAAACAAAAATGGATTTCTTTAAATCAGCATAGCAGGAACTATTTAATAAACTCAGATCTACTGAGCAATATATTTACACATATAGCTCAATACTTCAAATTGGTTAAAGAAAAGGAGAAAGTAACAAGGTGAATTAAATACTATTACTAAATGCATAATTGTAAAATTCAAAGAGACCATTCAAAGTAGTATGGCTGCAAGAGTAACCGAGCACAAACTTTAAGATGGAGAGAATGTTTCTTTAAGCTGCTTCATTTTTAATGATAAAGAATGATAATAACATTACTAAAACAAACAATAAGCAAATCACAACCAGGAATATTTTAACACCAATCATTCATTATAAAAAGTGCAATGACCCAATTGAAATTCAAAGAAAGCAGTCCAACAAATTAATACAAACTTAAATCAGAATAATAAGGCACAGGTGGAACATAAATCTTACAGGATGGAAGTTTAAAGAGTTGACCGAGTATATTTCATTTCCCTCTCTGTGGCATTTAAAAGTGAAGTTTTTACCCTGCTGACTGTCATCCAAATGATGCACCCCAACTCTTCCTTCTATTGATCCAACCTGAAGCAGGTATATTGTCAGTTTCAACATCCCAAAATTAATCAAACTAGACATACAACTTATAAATTGGGGGAAAAGATATTTTGTGTATTTTGGATAAGTTATGAAAACAAACATAAGTTGGAGTAAAAAAATTTAAGGAAAAGGACCAGAAAGTGGAGAATACCCCATTCTGCTAGAGTATGCTATCAGATTTATGACTCGATGTAAAAATAGATAAATACAAGCAACCAAAAAATTGGTTACAAAAGACACTAAATAGCACACAGTTGGGAAACAGTTGAATATTGATTTTTACAGAAGAATAAGACTACTCAAATGCAGAAAGGAATAAATATCTAAACCAAATGGAGAATGATGCATACCAAGAAACCTTGTTGATCAGGGAATGCTGAAAGGCACCTTGTTTGATACTTTAAGGGTGAAACAATTCTCTTAAATTCAACCTGTAGCAAATGAACAATGGCCAAAGGTAGGGATACTAGCCAAAACAGAAATGAAAGCTAAAAAAAAAGAATAATCCACAGGATGAATAGTTTGAATAATACATCATATATCAACACATTGATCTAACTGAAACAATTAAAATGCTCACAATAGAATATGAAAAGGCAAATGATCAACAAACTAGTATTCAATTAGACAATCAGTACAGATATCTGTGGGAAAAGTATGATGTTGCCAAACCCACCAGGTGACTGAAGCACAACTAACGTGCATTCATTTTACATCTACACACATTCCAATGCACATTGAAAGCAATCTATGGTTCTTGAATAATTGAGCTGAATAGACGTTTAACAGTGTTGAACATCAAATCAAACACACTATATATATATATATATATATATATATATATATATATATAGTGTGTTTGATTTGATGTTCAACACTGTTAAACGTCTATTCAGCTCAATTATTCAAGAACCATAGATTGCTTTCAATGTGCATTGGAATGTGTGTAGATGTAAAATGAATGCACGTTANTACACAAGATAAAACTGTCATGCTTGTAGATAGGTCTAAAAACAAGATAAAACAAATGGCATCTTTATGAATTATCCCATCTATTAAATTGAAGTCCTGAAGGGATAAATCCACAATATTATGCTCTCTTGAAGCATCTTTTTCTTTATCTCCGTCTACACTAAAATAAAAAAATAGTGTTAACTAATATATTGAAATACAAAGTAATAAATAATTAAAGACATGTGAGAATAACAATAATGTTACCTATTCGTTCAAAACCATGCAACCAATTTTGAGTTAAAATGAGTGCATCAACATTCTCTAGAAGAATGGAGGAATGATATTTGGTTAGGACACAAGAACCAAGACTAAAGGCAAACTCACTAGCAACTGTAGTGATTGGAATGCTAAGAACATCACAAGCCATCTTAGACAAGTTTGGATAACGATCTCGACAATCCCTCCAATAACTTAACACATCCAACTTATCAAAAAAACTTTGGATCAAGATTCCCTTCATCTAAATAAAGATCTAATTCAGACCTCCTAGTGTCATTAACATGTTGGTTCAAATAATCAACATATTTTTAAGACATCATGAAACAAAGCTAATATGTCATTACTCACAAGTAAGAAATAAAATATACATATTAAAATAAAGTAAGTCTAAGAATTAAAGACTTACATCAAATGCATCCATAAGTGGTCATCATTAGGAAAAGAAGGTTGTTGTGTTTTAGGAGAAACTTGAGAACTTGAAGTATTTGAATTTAATTTGACATATTCTTCAAACAACTTATACATGTTATCCTTTGGAACATTAATCTTTTCATCACAAGTAGAAGGATTAATCTTTCTATAACAAAATCGAATTGTTTCAAACTTCATTCGTGATAAAGAATAACCCCAATAGGAAGAATGTCACAATATTAATCCCAATACTTACTAAACCTGTTCATCATACTCAATGACATATCTTTAATCGTCAGATCATCACTTTTTACCTTTTCTTGTAACAAACATTCAATTTTTCAAACTTGCATAAAGTAANCCATTGGGGATAGAAGCAAGCAGAAATCGTGAATATATTCGAACAATCACCAAATAAACATTTGTACGTATGCTATAATTTTAGGGAGACCAACAAAATGTAAACAGCACTCAACAAAACAGTACACTGGCGAAAAAAAGAACTGAGCGTACAAGTATCTGTGAAATTCTATAACTAAAGGACATGGGATACTGCGATGCTTATTCATTGTTTACACAAAATGAACTGGATAAAAGATGTCAATACACCATAACCATGGGGCTAAGCATTTGTCAAACTCAAACATTTCAATGTCAACGTACTAACACTTGAAATCATTAGTAATTAAAATAAATTACGAGTGTTTTTATTCAATTACAACATGTAGTGCTGTCAAAATAGATTGAAACTCGTGAATCAACCTAGCCCACCACAAGTTCGAGCAGGGTTAGATTGGAAAAAAATGCGAAATTTTTGACCCAGTTCACCCGAGTTGAACCTGTGGTGAGCTAGGTTGACTCATCAACCTACCTATTTTTTTTAATGAAATCAAATTAATTATTCAAAACGCACAACTCTTACTTCGCAATAGAGCCTTTCTTGCTGCGCGGTTGCCTAGTGCTGTCAAAACGGACCACTCGGCCCAACCCGCCATGAATTGGTGGGTTAAACGGGCTTACTCACTTAACTTTTTTTCACCCTCTTCTTCCCAGATTCTTGTAACATGTTACTTTGATCGATCAAATTAAAACTATAATAGATGGACCAATTGATATAAAAGAAAATGAAACAAAAGAACTCTATTGTTATATATTCTAAGCTATTAAACATAAAATTATGCTAATTTATTTTAACGAGACATACACAAGATAAAACTGTCATGCTTGTAGATAGGTCTAAAAACAAGATAAAACAAATGGCATCTTTATGAATTATCCCATCTATTAAATTGAAGTCCTGAAGGGATAAATCCACAATATTATGCTCTCTTGAAGCATCTTTTTCTTTATCTCCGTCTACACTAAAATAAAAAAATAGTGTTAACTAATATATTGAAATACAAAGTAATAAATAATTAAAGACATGTGAGAATAACAATAATGTTACCTATTCGTTCAAAACCATGCAACCAATTTTGAGTTAAAATGAGTGCATCAACATTCTCTAGAAGAATGGAGGAATGATATTTGGTTAGGACACAAGAACCAAGACTAAAGGCAAACTCACTAGCAACTGTAGTGATTGGAATGCTAAGAACATCACAAGCCATCTTAGACAAGTTTGGATAACGATCTCGACAATCCCTCCAATAACTTAACACATCCAACTTATCAAAAAAACTTTGGATCAAGATTCCCTTCATCTAAATAAAGATCTAATTCAGACCTCCTAGTGTCATTAACATGTTGGTTCAAATAATCAACATATTTTTAAGACATCATGAAACAAAGCTAATATGTCATTACTCACAAGTAAGAAATAAAATATACATATTAAAATAAAGTAAGTCTAAGAATTAAAGACTTACATCAAATGCATCCATAAGTGGTCATCATTAGGAAAAGAAGGTTGTTGTGTTTTAGGAGAAAATTGAGAACTTGAAGTATTTGAATTTAATTTGACATATTCTTCAAACAACTTATACATGTTATCCTTTGGAACATTAATCTTTTCATCACAAGTAGAAGGATTAATCTTTCTATAACAAAATCGAATTGTTTCAAACTTCATTCGTGATAAAGAATAACCCCAATAGGAAGAATGTCACAATATTAATCCCAATACTTACTAAACCTGTTCATCATACTCAATGACATATCTTTAATCGTCAGATCATCACTTTTTACCTTTTCTTGTAACAAACATTCAATTTTTCAAACTTGCATAAAGTAACAGATTAGAAGTTGGATCAAAAGAACATGAAATCAAATTAGTCATTACATAAAATGACTTCAAGAACTCACATTTCGTAAAGTGGAAAAAGTCCGAAAAAATGTGAGTTTTTGAAGCCATTTTATGTAATGACTAATTTGATTTCAGATTCTTTTTATCCAACTTCTAATTGTTACTTCATGCAAGTTTGGAAAATTGAATGTTTGTTACGGGAAAATCTAAAAAGTGATGATCTGACGATTAAAGATATGTCATTGAGTATGAAGAACAAGTTTAGTAAGTATTGGGATCAATATTGTGACATTCTTGCTATTGGGGCTATTCTTGATCCACGGATGAAGTTTGAAGCAATTCGATTTTATTATAGAAAGATTAATCCTTCTACTTGTGAAGAAAAGATTAATGTTTTAAAGAATAACGTGTATAAGTTGTTTGAAGAATATGTTAAATTAAATTAAAATGAATCAAATACTTCAAGTTCTCAAGTTTCTCCTCCTACACAACAACCTTCTTTTCTTTTACTAATGATGAGTCAGTGATGGATGCATTTGATGTAAGTCTTTAATTCTTAGACTTACTTTATTTTATCATGTATATTTTATTTCTTACTTGTGACTAATGACATATTAACTTTGTTCCATGATGTCTTAGGAATATGTTGATTAGTTGAGCCAACATGTTAATGACACTGGGAGGTCTGAATTAGATCTTTATTTAGATTAAGGAAATCTTGATCCAAAGTTTTTTTTTATAAGTTGGATGTGTTAAGTTATTGGAGAGATCGTCGAGATAGTTATCCAAACTTGTCTAAAATGGCTTGTGATGTTCTTAACATTCCAATCACTACCGTTGCTAGTGAGTTTGCCTTTAGTCTTGGTTCTCATGTCCTAACCAAATATCATTCCTCCATTCTTCTCGAGAATGTTGAGGCACTCATTTTAACTCAAAATTGGTCGCATGGTTTTGAACTAACTTATTCTCACATGTCTTTAATTGTTTATTATTTTGTATTTCAATATTATTAATTAACACTATTTTTTTATTGTATTGTAAATGGAGACAAAGAAGATGGATAATTTAGGGAAGATGCCATTTGTTATATCTTGCTTTTAGACTATCTAAAAGCATGACAGTTTTATCTAAAAGATTGATCAAAGTAACATGTTATAAGAATCTCGAAAGAAGAGGTGAAAAAAAGTTAAGTGAGCTAATGAGTCAACTCGTTTAACCCACCAATCCATGATAGATCGGGCCTAGTTCAAACTTTTTCAATTCACTAATAAATGAGCCGGGTTGAGTTGGCTCACGAAGTGGCCAACCCGTAGTAGGTCGAGTCGGACCGGATGGCTCATTTTGACAGCACTAACAACATGTCGTCTACATCTAAATTCCATAAATAAATAATGGAACACTTCACTTAAGATATTTGTTATCAAAGAAATCAATATTAAAACCAAAAACAAAACAAAAAAAACAAAATGTATTAAAATTGAAACCAGAATTTTGACATGTAATGTTAAGGTGTTTCATTTCATGAGAGTTCATTTATTGAAAATAACATTTTCAATGAATACAGAAATCTCAATGTGTTTTTTTTTTTCATCATTATGAAACAAAAATGGATTTCTTTAAATCAGCATAGCAGGAACTATTTAATAAACTCAGATCTACTGAGCAATATATTTACACATATAGCTCAATACTTCAAATTGGTTAAAGAAAAGGAGAAAGTAACAAGGTGAATTAAATACTATTACTAAATGCATAATTGTAAAATTCAAAGAGACCATTCAAAGTAGTATGGCTACAAGAGTAACCGAGCACAAACTTTAAGATGGAGAGAATGTTTCTTTAAGCTGCTTCATTTTTAATGATAAAGAATGATAATAACATTACTAAAACAAACAATAAGAAAATCACAACCAGGAATATTTTAACACCAATCATTCATTATAAAAAGTGCAATGACCCAATTGAAATTCAAAGAAAGCAGTCCAACAAATTAATACAAACTTAAATCAGAATAATAAGGCACAGGTGGAACATAAATCTTACAGGATGGAAGTTTAAAGAGTTGACCGAGTATATTTCATTTCCCTCTCTGTGGCATTTAAAAGTGAAGTTTTTACCCTGCTGACTGTCATCCAAATGATGCACCCCAACTCTTCCTTCTATTGATCCAACCTGAAGCAAGTATATTGTCAGTTTCAACATCCCAAAATTAATCAAACTAGACATACAACTTATAAATTGGGGGAAAAGATATTTTGTGTATTTTGGATAAGTTATGAAAACAAACATAAGTTGGAGTAAAAAAATTTAAGGAAAAGGACCAGAAAGTGGAGAATACCCCATTCTGCTAGAGTATGCTATAAGATTTATGACTCGATGTAAAAATAGATAAATACAAGCAACCAAAAAATTGGTTACAAAAGACACTAAATAGCACACAGTTGGGAAACAGTTGAATATTGATTTTTACAGAAGAATAAGACTACTCAAATGCAGAAAGGAATAAATATCTAAACCAAATGGAGAATGATGCATACCAAGAAACCTTGTTGATCAGGGAATGCTGAAAGGCACCTTGTTTGATACTTTAAGGGTGAAACAATTCTCTTAAATTCAACCTGTAGCAAATGAACAATGGCCAAAGGTAGGGATACTAGCCAAAACAGAAATGAAAGCTAAAAAAAAAGAATAATCCACAGGATGAATAGTTTGAATAATACATCATATATCAACACATTGATCTAACTGAAACAATTAAAATGCTCACAATAGAATATGAAAAGGCAAATGATCAACAAACTAGTATTCAATTAGACAATCAGTACAAATATCTGTGGGAAAAGTATGATGTTGCCAAACCCACCAGGTGACTGAAGCACAACTAACGTGCATTCATTTTACATCTACACACATTCCAATGCACATTGAAAGCAATCTATGGTTCTTGAATAATTGAGCTGAATAGACGTTTAACAGTGTTGAACACCAAATCAAATACACTATATATATATAGTTAATTGATTGTCCTACAATGAAGCACACAGCAGAAGAGAGAAAATAATTGCACATTTGGAGCCAAATTGTGGCTATTAGTTTGTTAGAATGTTAGAAATGTGAAAAGTACTTATGCCCCTGGGAAAACCACCCTCAAAAGTTAGCTATTAAGGGAGCCAAACACTCAAATAGTCCACGAGCATCCCATACTACACCAATCAGAACCCCTTGTTGGTAGCCATTTCCAAAACACTGACAACTAGGCTTTGATACTAGTGGATAAATACCCAAACACTTGGGGATTCCCCCCTCAAAAGCTATTTATTAAGGTGGAAAAACTACACCGGGCATCCCATCCCATACTACTCAATTAGGGACTTAGGCACCACAAATTACCCAAGTTCCTTCCAATATGCTTGATGTTGGGTTGGAAGTACTTAAGACTAAACTTCTATTCAAGGTCCTAACAGGCGAGGAAGTACATGAGACTAAAGTTCAGCTAAGAAAAAGATAAGTGAGGATTGCCTGATGTCTGGGAAAAAGTATGTTGGGCTACAATTTATTAAATTTGTGACTTGAATGACTGACGTCCCAGTAGAACTACATGGGACTAATCTTCTGCAAATAGGTTGTCCTACTTTTGCACAGTATGATTCCAAATATGAGATATCTAAATAAACCATGAACCAAATAAGTTTTTCTGGATATTATGTTAGTGGCTTGAGGATGCCTATCGTACTTGGAAGGAAAACTCATTCCTTCCTTTTTACTATTTGAAACCTCTGGCTCCAAACAATCATTCGGAGTACCTGAGTGAATATACATTGAATTTCTGGCCCAGAAATTGGGATGTTTCTTCTCTTTCTCCTAGATAATTTATTATTCTCATCTAACTCCTAGTTCCTGCTCCTCACCCTTAATAAATTTAATATATTTATTGTCTAATTAAGCAATAAAAAGAAACAACCCCTTTTTATCAAGAAATCTTGAGATAAAATGGTCGTGATATAATAAGTGAATACACAACTGAAAGGTAACACTAATAATGCATAATACCATTAAGTTGAGATTCGCTAAATTAGACTGAAAGTATTACCTGAGGATTTTGCAAGTTGTAAACTACTAGATTTCTATCAGCAGTGCCAACAACCATCAGAGGATGTCTCACTGTCATAGCATAGCAGCGCTCTGGGAGTTGCTGTGTGTGCACAGGATTTGACTGCCTTGTATCCCAGTATCTAAAAGTAGCCAAAAGAGTCATATGCAAGGAGAGGACAGAAGAACCAGATCAAGAAACATTGCAAGCTTCATACCATACTTAATCAGAAAGATGTGATAGATATCAGCAGCACTACAAAATAATAAAATATAATATGCAATGGCATGCTATATAAAGATAATACACATCACCTGATGTGTGTGACAAAAACCAGCCTGAAGAGCTGATTGGATATAAACAAAGAAGAAGAGATTTCATTGTAAAAGACAAAAACTGATGTCCCTAAGTTATAAATTAAGAAAATAATAAGATGCTCTAAAATATTCTAGATATAAAGTTGATATTATGAGATGATTTTCATATACTCTAATTACTAAAGTTATAATTTAAAAACAAATTGCTGTAAAGGTAGCAAATGCTAGTGCAATACTTCAAAGTCCTGTCCCAGCTTCCTGTGGCTAAGAGATTCATTTCAGGAATCCAAGCAACTTCTTTGATGGGTGCATCATGCATGGCAATAGTCATTGGTTGGCCTCCGGATAATAGAGGCCACATCTTCACTTGCTTATCACATCCACCAGAGAAGACAGTTGTGCCATCATCTTTCCATGTAGAGCACAAAACCTTTGCAGGGAAATAAAATGATGAATTTATGACTTCATAGACAAGTAAACTACTGTTGTTTAAGGAAAAGGCAGAAAAGAGAAGAAACATCGTGAAAACCTATTGTCTAAAGATTCAATTGTCAAGAACTATTAATATAAAGTTAAATATGTTCTTAATTCCTAAAAAATAAATCTTCTACTTGTGGTTCCTCGTCTAAGGAATGTGCCAAGAAATCTTGAAACTCAAAAACATGTATAACATACAAATGAATATTGTAAGACTAATGCAAACCGTCACACCTTAGGACACTGAATGAAGAATATGGAATTTTTTTATTAAAAAGTATTATTAATGTGTTCCCAAACAATTTCAAATGCAACGATGTAAGTCCAACAAGGGCTTCTATTCATTCCTTAACTAGTGCCCATAGAGGATGGTTTGCAAGAACCATACCTTAACATGAAAAATAAGCAACCATACATTACATCGCCATTCAGCAATAGACTTCATTTTAAGCAACATCATTGGGAAACCTCTATATCCTAATGTCTTTGTTATAAAAAAGCTTTGATTATTATACCTGACCATAATAATATCCGAATCCTACCAAATTAACCTCGCACATGTACCAGAATAGTAATTCATGAAAATAAATACATACATGCAGACACACACATAAATAGTAAGGAGACATGAATAATTAAAACTAAAAGAGCTTACTGGATGATCGTGCGTTATAGAAGCCTTGGGGACAGTGGCCACATTTACTCCATTCCGTGCTACCTCCCAGCAGCGAACCTGCAAAAGGTTGCTCATAAACCTCTCCAAATGAGATGTTTCACAATGAAGACAATGAAATGAGTGAGAAAGAAAGACCTGATTGTCCCAAGAAGTGGCTACGAGGAAGTTGGCTTTGGGACTGAAACTGAGACTGGAGACAGAATCAGTGGGAGGCTGATTCACCTGCAAAATTCACCAACAAATCATGAAAACTCACACTGCACAACATAACAACCTGTTTCTCCCAGACGGAGTGGACTTTGATGTACCTCGAAGGACTTGTTCGGGTTCGGATTAGTGTTCGACAGGAAATTGGACATTTGCAAATTTTCTCGCTGGATTCTCTCTCAGAAAATTTTTGCAGAGAGACAGTGTTCGTAGTTTGGACTTTGGAGGGAGTTGGTTTGGGCCTTGGGTTGGGTGGGAAGAGAAAAACGTGAACTAATGGGTTTTGTGTGGGTAAGGGCAGGCGTAGGAGTTAAATACTACGACCTAGCGTTATTACCACGCTTGTTTTTGGGCTCTAACTAATTGCCGTTAATATGTTTATTATGGGCCTAAATAAATATATTGACGAGGGTTACTCCCTCCACCATGTTGCTCTATTTACCTTTTTATTCTCATTTTATTCTGTTCATTTTTTTCTTTCAACGAATTTTGATATCCGTTAAGAAAAATCAAGATAATTGTGGTCTTTGAACAATTTTATTTTATGTAAAACAAATTTTAAACAAACTAAATAATTATAATTAATTTAATAAATAACTCAAAATTTAAAATTATATACTACACATAAAAAATTATAAAAAAAATTAATAAACTAAAACAAAAAAATAAAAGAAGTGAAAAGCGAATGCTTGAACAAATATGTAAGATTCGTTGAAGGTTGAACGAGATCTCCCATATTTGTTCAGGCCTTCATGTTTGGGTTTTTCTACATTTTTCAAACAATAACACACAGATACCAGCATTTTTGAACAAAATCAACCACGAACCGCACTTTTCTTCGCGAACAAACCATCTCTGGAGCCAACTCAATGATAATGAAAGCATCGAAAACAGAAGAGGAAACGAAAATCACAAATAAGAAAAGTATTAGGAGGAGAGGAAGAAGAGAGTGAAAGAAAAAAATAAAGTTTATGTGGGAGTGTGGGGTTGTGGCATTGAAGAGTGAAAGGGAATGAGATTAAATTAGGATTTTAGATTAAAATAGGTAAAAGTAAAAAATAAATATTTAAATAAAATCAGTTTTAAAAATAAAAAAAGTTGAAAAGGTGTATGGAGTAACATGTGGTGGTAGAGGAAGTAATCCTCTGTATTATTTGATCATTAAGTTTATTTAAAAAGAAAAATAGATTAGGTCAAGTTTGTTAGTGTGAATTATAAAGGATTTTATAAAATTTCTAAAAAATATTTTTCTTAATTTGGTGTAAAAAACATCAATCTATTTTTCTTAATTTATAAAAATTATTAATTTGGTGTATTTAGATAACAAATGAACCCTCCCTCTCAATATTATAACCCATTATGATTTTGATAAAAATTATTGCACTGACAGGGTACTATTGTTGTCTTCATACTTGTTCAATTTTAAATTATTAAAATATTTTTATTTATAAATAATCTAATCACTTCTATTTTATATAGAAACTTAGTTACAAGACATAAATTTATCATTTATACTCTTTTTTATAATTATTTGACATTTATCTTATTAACATTTGATATTTGCATTTAATATTTATATCATCATAATTTATTTTTTAATATTTGACATAAGTTAAAAGAAAACGTATATTCTTTTAAAATTAAATACTTGATAATATATTATTTTATTTCATATATTTAAAAAAATATTTTATTAATATTTTGAACACTAAATAGCAAGTACTATGGGAACAAATATAACTATTTATTGAATAAGTATTAGAATGGAAATAAATTTCTACAGTTAGAATGTACTTTTTCTGTAACCATCCTTAAATATACGATGTTAAGAACTTACATCCACATCTATCTAGAGATTATTTTAAAGTTAAAATTACANCACATAAATAGTAAGGAGACATGAATAATTAAAACTAAAAGAGCTTACTGGATGATCGTGCGTTATAGAAGCCTTGGGGACAGTGGCCACATTTACTCCATTCCGTGCTACCTCCCAGCAGCGAACCTGCAAAAGGTTGCTCATAAACCTCTCCAAATGAGATGTTTCACAATGAAGACAATGAAATGAGTGAGAAAGAAAGACCTGATTGTCCCAAGAAGTGGCTACGAGGAAGTTGGCTTTGGGACTGAAACTGAGACTGGAGACAGAATCCGTGGGAGGCTGATTCACCTGCAAAATTCACCAACAAATCATGAAAACTCACACTGCACAACATAACAACCTGTTTCTCCCAAACAGAGTGGACTTTGATGTACCTCGAAGGACTTGTTCGGGTTCGGATTAGTGTTCGACAGGAAATTGGACATTTGCAAATTTTCTCGCTGGATTTTCTCTCAGAAATTTTTTGCAGAGAGACAGAAAGAGAGACAGTGTTCGTAGTTTGGACTTTGGAGGGAGTTGGTTTGGGCCTTGGGTTGGGTGGGAAGAAAAAAACGTGAAATAATGGGTTTTGTGTGGGTAAGGGCAGGCGTAGGAGTTAAATACTACGACCTAGCGTTATTACCACGCTTGTTTTTGGGCTCTAACTAATTGCCGTTAATCTGTTTATTATGGGCCTAAATAAATATATTGACGAGGGTTACTCCCTCCACCATGTTGCTCTATTTACCTTTTTATTCTCATTTTATTCTGTTCATTTTTTTCTTTCAACGAATTTTGATATCCGTTAAGAAAAATCAAGATAATTGTGGTCTTTGAACAATTTTATTTTATGTAAAACAAATTTTAAACAAACTAAATAATTATAATTAATTTAATAAATAACTCAAAATTTAAAATTATATACTACACATAAAAAATTATAAAAAAAATTAATAAACTAAAACAAAAAAATAAAAGAAGTGAAACGCGAATGCTTGAACAAATATGCAAGATTCGTTGAAGGTCGAACGAATCTCCCATATTCGTCCAGACCTTCATGTTTGGGTTTTTCTACGTTTTTCAAACAACAACACACAGATACCAGCATTTTTGAGCGAAATCAACCACGAACCACACTTTTCTTCGCGAACAAACCATCTCTGGAGCCAACTCAATGATAATGAAAGCATCGAAAACAGAAGAGAAAACGAAAATCACAAATAAGAAAAGCATTAGGAGGAGAGGAATAAAGAGTGAAAGGAAAAAATAAAATTTATGTGGGGGTGTGGGGCTGTGGCATTGAAGAGTGAAAGGGAATGAGATTAAATTAAGATTTTAGATTAAAATAGGTAAAAGTAAAAAATAAATATTTAAATAAGATGAGTTTTAAAAATAAAAAAACTTGGAGGAAAGGTGTATGGAGCAACCTGTGGTGGTAGAGGAAGTAATCTCTATATTATTTGATCATTAAGTTTATTTAAAAAGAAAAATAGATTGGGTCAAGTTTGTTAGTGTGAACTATAAAGAATTTTATAAAATTTCTAAAAAATATTTTTCTTAATTTGGTGTAAAAAACATCAATCTATTTTTCTTAATTTATAAAACTTATTAATTTGGTGTATTTAGATAACAAATGAACCCTCCCTCTCAATATTATAACCCATTATGATTTTGATAAAAATTATTGCACTGACAGGTACTATTGTTGTATTCATACTTGTCTCAATTTGTTCAATTTTAAATTATTAAAATATTTTTTATTTATAAATAATCTAATCACTTCTATTTTATCTAGAAACTTAGTTACAAGACACAAATTTATCATTTATACTCTTTTTTATAATTATTTGACATTTATCTTATTAACATTTGATATTTGTATTTAATATTTATATCATCATAATTTATTTTTTAATATTTGACATTAGTTAAAAGAAAACGTATATTCTTTTAAAATTAAATACTTGATAATATATTATTTTATTTCATATATTTAAAAAATATTTTATTAATATTTTGAACACTAAATAGCAAGTACTATGGGAACACATATAACTATTTATTGAATAAGTATTAGAATGGAAATAAATTTCTACGGTTAGAATGTACTTTTTCTGTAACCATCCTTAAATATACGATGTTAAGAACTTACATCCACATCTATCTAGAGATTATTTTAAAGTTAAAATTACAAGTATTTTTAATTAAAAACAGTGTCATTCAATCATATAAAATTATTACAAACTCCAAAATTCTTTCTCTAAATATTTAAGTTGCATATAGTTAAAAGAAAATAACCGGTTAAATTAGAAAATTTATACACCAAGTAATTAATACAGTAATTTCTTGAGACCTTTTACACATAGAAAGTTTCTTTTCCAAAATGACTTAAATTTTAAATTCATTTTACAAAGAATTTTTTTTTCTGCAATAATTTGATTTGAATAAAGAAGAAGAAAGAAAACAGTCGTCTAATAAAGTAACTTTCTTTGTAGAAGAGGCTATCAACATATCGTATAAAAATATTGAGCCTTTTACTATTTGTGAATTATTTAATTTATTTTTGTCTTGTTTCTGTTAAGAAAACATAGTTTCTTCTCTATACTAATTTTCTGACTTTCGAACATGAAGATATTTTGTAAAAAATGTTTAAATAAATTATTCTATCGTTTTAGCGTCCAATGACCGAGTCTTTATGAGAATACATTGTTTTTTATTCCAGTTCATCGTAATTGCTATATTCTCAAGAAGATGACTTGCCTTTATTTTATTTTAGTTTGATGATAAACTTTTAGGAATTGGTATTTTTCGATTTTTTAGATTAATCAAATACTATATTAATATTATCGATTGGTGACTTTATTGATAGATTTAACAAGTGGTTAATTACTACGAGAAAATAACAAATTATAATAATTTAAAACATCACACACTGATTATAAATTTCGTGAAATTTAAAATTGCATTTTTCTAAGGAATTAGGTCAAACTTGTTAAAGTGCTGTATTTCATGACTTATTACCGGTAAATTTAATAGAGATGTTTAACAAATATAAGTTTATACGTGAGATTTATTTTAAAACTATCTATGATTTGTGGGAATTTTGGTTCTAGCTGGGCATCGTTTATCTAGATTTATATAGATATAATATATAAGATATATATATATATATATCTAGAGATATATATATATATATATATATATATATATAGGGAGTTGCTACCGCGCGCCGTGTTAGTTGTACATTTTAGCAATGTGTACCGGAATTTTAGTAGACAAAAAATACCCACCACACACCCCCACAGCCCCCCCCACCCACCCCCCCCACCCACCCCCCAACCCCCCCCCCCCCCCCCCCCCGCCCCCACCCCCCCCCCCCCACAACCCCCCCCCACCTCACCCCCCCCCCACACCACACCCACCACCCCACCCCCCTCCCACCCCCACCCCACCCACCCCCCCCCCACCCCCCCACCCCCCCCACCCCACCAACCCCCCCCACCCCCCACCACCCCCCTCCCCCACCCACCCCCCCCCCCCCCCCCCCCAACCCCCCCCAACCCCCCCACCCCCCACCACCCACCCCCCCCCCCCCCAACCACGCCACCACCCCCCCCTCCCCACCCACCCCCCACCCCACCCCCCACCCCCCCCCAACCCCCCCACACCCGCCCCCCCACCCCCCCCCAAACCCACCCCCCCACCCCCAAACCCCCCCCCACACCACCCCCCCCACCCCCCCCCCCTCCCCCACCCACCCCCCCCCACCCGCCCCCCCACCACCCCCCAACACCCCCCCCCCCCCATACCCCCCCCACCCCCCCCCCACCCAAAACCCCTGCCCCCCCCCCCCCCCCTCCCCCATCACCCACCAAACCCCCCCCCCCCCACCACCCCCCCCCCCCCCCCCCCCACCCCCCCACCACCACCCCCCCCCCCCTCCCCCCCCACACCCCCCCCTCCATCCACCACATCCACCCCCCCCCACTCATCCGCCCGCCCCCATATCACCCCCCCCCCCCCGACATCCCCCCCGCCACCCCCCCCCCCACCCCCCCCCCCCCCCACCACCACCCACCCCCACTCCCCCCCCACCCCCACCCCCCCCCCCCCCACCACCCCTACCCCCACAGCCACCCCCCACCACCCCCCCCCCAACCCCCCCACCCCACCCACCCCCCCCCACCTCCCCCCACCTAACCAAACCCACCCCCCCCCCCCCCATCCACCCCCCCCCCCCCCCTACCCCCTTCCCCCCCCCGCCCTCCCCACGCACCCTCCACCCCCCACCCCCCCCCCCACCCCCCCCCCCCACCCCCCCCCCCCCCCCCCACCCCCACCACCCACTCCCCACCCCACCCCCCCCCCCCACCCCATCCCCCCTCCCCCCCCCACCCCCTTCATCCCCCACCCGCCCATTCTCCCTGACCCCCTCCCCCCCCTCCCCCCCCCCCACCCACCGCCCCCTCCCCCCCACCACCCCCACCCATATACCCCCCCCTACCCCCCCCCCCACGACCCCCCCCCCCCGCCGATAAATGACCCCCCCCCCGACCGGAACCCCTCCCCCCCCGAACCCCCCACACCTTCCCCCCCCCCCCCCTCCCCCACCCCCCCTCCCCCCCCCCACCCCCCCCGTCCCCCCCCCCCCCCTAACTCCCCCCCGCCCCCCCACCCGCCCCCCCCCCCCCCCAACCTCTCCCACAGCACCCCCCCCCCGACCCCCCCGACAACCCGACTCCCCCCCCCACCCAACCCCCACCCCCCCCCCCGCCCCGCCCACACGCTACCGTCCCCCCCCTCCCCCTAATCATACATCACAACCCAACCCTTTTACCCCTCGGTCCCACCTCCACCCTCCGAGACCCCGCCATCCGCCACCTACACCCCTCCCCCCCCCCCAACCACCATACCCCCCAATACCATACCCCCCCCCTCATTCCTCCCCCCCCCCCCCCCCCACCCACCCTCCCATACCCCCCCCCCGCCCCGTCTTCCCCCACCGCCCCCCCCTTCACCCCCCTTTCCCCACATCCACCCCCCACCTTCCCCACTCCCTCCCCTCACCCTATCTGCACCGGTCCATTGCCCCCCCCCCCTCTACCCTCCTGGCCGCCCTCAATCCCCTTCCTTCCGTTCTCTCGCCCCGATCCTCCCTCGTACTTTATGCCCGTCCGCCCGTCCCCATTTCTGTCCCTCCGCCATGTCCCCCCTCCAACCTCCCCTTCCCCTCTCCTACTCCAGCTATCCTCGCCGCTGCTCTTCGAAACCTTCATTTTCTCCCGCCTCCGTTCCTCTATTTCCCTTGTCCCTCAACCCCCCCACACACCCCAACCCCACCCCACCCCCCCCACCAAATAACCACCCCCACCCCGCCCCCCTCACCCCCCCCCACCCCCACCCCCCCCCCCCCCCTCCCCACCCCCCCCCCCCCCCCAACCCCCCCCACCCCCCCCCTCCTCCCCCCCCCCCCCCCCCCGCCAACCCTCTTCCTCCCCTGTCGCCTCCTCCTCCCCCCCACTCACAACCCCGCCCCCCCCCCACACTCAAACCCCCACCCCCCCCTACCCGCCCACCCCCCCCCCCCCCCCC